GCCTTAAAAAAAATTATCAGAGAATTTTGGATTTTTAATCAGAGAAAAGTAGGGTCCCTGTGTAATGATTAAATGATTGCTGATAGGCTTTGACAGCCTGATACACTTCACTGAAACTTATGTTGCCAGTCTTCAGTAAAACTATTACCAAAGCCAGTTAGCTAACTCGGTAGGCCACTTTATGTTGCAGTTGTTACCCTCTCCCAACTTGCAGTTTAGACATACCGTTAGTTTGTAATGCTAATGCATTAATGTATTCATATGAGCCAAAGATTTGGTTTATGTTATATTGTTGTGTTTCCTTTCCATTGCAGATTAAATGAATTTAGAGAAATGCAAGGCAGTGGAAAGTGAAACTCCTTCTGTGTGGTGCTACCTATGTTTCTATTCTGTGCTGAACAAGACTAGTACTTGTGCCTGAGGGCTCCAGCTACATTAAAGGTTTTTGTGGGGCTAAATACAGTGTCTTGCATCAGCAGTTTGGAAGTCCCAGTGCCAAAATGTATTACCTTTAATGATAGATTAGGAGCAATATTGTTCATGCAATATCTAGAACTCGAGATGTCGGCTTTACTGTATTGCAGATGATGATAAAAGTATTATCTTAGAGCAGAGCTTTCCAAACTGTGTGCCACGACACATTAGTGTGTCGGAGGCAGTGTGTAGGTGTGTCGCGCGAAATGCAGAAAATTTTGCGGAAGGGCACCGCGGAGCTCCCTTACTCGTGTCTGCTTCCCTTGGCCCCTCCCCCAGAACTGAATTACTGTGTCGCGAAATGATGCATGTCTAAAAAGTGTGTCACCAACATGAAAAGTTTGGAAAGCTCTGTCTTAGAGCAAAAACAAATTGAGGTGAAAAGGAAGATGGATGAAATAAGGAGGGGAGAATTAATATATGGATGTGGGGGTAACAGAAATTTGCTTAGCTCCCCCAACTCAACTTGAAATCTACATGTATTTTAATGTAAATCTTTTGTAAAGGCTTCCTAGGGTTTTTATTTTACTCCCAAGGAAGATCTGTGTGTAATGCACTATTGTTAAAGTTTTGGAAAGTCCTCCTTCAAACAAAATATTTAAATCATTGGGAACTACTAACTTGTTAGACTGTGGAACAGGAGGAGGAAGGAAGAACTAAATGATTCAGTGCTTCTGCAAACATCTTGCATTTGGGACATGAATAATAACTGCAACCGAGGGACAAAATCTTACAGGCTTCTTATGCCCTGAGATAAAGCTTTACTTACAGAGACCACATAGGTTTGGGATCCCTTTTCCCAGTGGTAAACAGTTAATGTACGAACTCAGTGGGAGCCAACCTTTCTGGAAGGCATGCCAAAAATTAGCCCTGTGCCATCCCCAAATGCTACTTTGATGCCTTTCCTCTACCCAATCCACTGCTCTGCTTTCTGTTCCCACACTGATTGCTGCTTTTTTTTGTTCCCTTTCCTGTGCTCCCTGCCCAGTTTGCTGCTTTGATTTCTGCTTCTTGCTGTATCTGCTGCTCTTCTGTTTGTCTTCCTGGTCTGCCATGTGCCACACAGGCCGCCTGTGCCACTTGTGGAACCCATGCTGTGTACTAATTAATGTACTGTGGTGCCTGTCTTCTGAGCACAAAACTTCCTTTTAAAATTAAAGAAATTGAAAATAGAAAAATTGGGATTAGGTATTACACTTAACCATCAAATAACTGGTTTGAACACTTTCCTTTGTGTTTAATATATTTGCATAACATAGACAGAAATGTTTTTATGCATAAGGCCGTGATGGTTTAATTATAAAGAAATAAAGAAACCCCTATTCTTTCATTTAAGTTATTTTTACTTCCATAGTTTATAATAGAACCATATCGTCAGAGAAATTCCATCCCTCCCCCCTACACACACGTACATGTATAAGTAATTGAATATTAAATAATGAAATAGCATTTAGAACGAAGCAAGAATGAACATGAACTGTAGTAGAACTTCCCTAGTTTGACCAGCGCCTAAGAAATTGGTTGTGGATTACCAGATTTTGTCAAATTTGTGAAAAGGAGACAAGATTTAAAAAAAAAAAAAAAAAATACAGTTTAATTTGAAATGAAAATGAGCTGCAAATGTTTAGGTGGTCATAGAGAAATGACCATGGAGTGTGAGGGCAATGTACTGTGTGGATAGGTAACTGACCATACCATGGTGATGGATATAGTATAAGAAACTAAAAATAGTGGAAAATCCTGATTTATTGATGGTTCTTATTAGCTAAGGAAGTTTTTATTTGCAAATTTTTACTCTGCAGATGCCTAGACTATATAACTTGACATATAAACATTTATAAGTGGGACACGTTCTAAGAATATATTATATCATAGCAATGAGTCTTCTAATAACTTCCCTTAGGTCTGCCCCTGCCATTCAATTTTTGCTGAAAGTGAGAAGGCATTCTTTGTTTGCATAAGGTATAGGGGTATAGATTTTTTTAAAAAATATAAATTGGTTAAATTCTATTTGTTTGTTCATAAGAACTGTTGCACTTCAAACATTGTAGCTTGAGGAAAGTGAAACATTGCTAACCACATTAATAAGTGGACTTAAGAAATAATATGAAGTAGTTGACAATCTTCAGAAAGGGGGAAAAAAAGGTAAAATATTTGCTTAGAGGTCAAAGCAATGTCAAAATAAATTGTAGGTAATAGACTGTGCATCTCACTAAGGAATTTAACATTAGTCTCCATTTAATAGCAAGTTCTGCATTAAAATATTATTTTTCAGCATCTAAAGTAGTTAGCCTTTGTGGGGTCCATCTTCTTTCACCAGTTTAAGTAAAGCAGCCTTCAGTATGCTTGCCTGTTATCTAAAAGTGATGCGTCTTCAAATAGAAATACTACTAGGGAATTAATGAAAGTACTGATAAACTGTGTGGATAAGAGAAACAATTTCTATCTGTTTTACAAATTATGCTTGCTCTTGTTCATGAATCTCATTAATATATCTATTCCACAGAGATTCAAGGTTATTGGGGTTCTGCTTCCTTGTCCTGTTGATCAGAATGCATTCTTATGAATTATAGTTAAGGGTGGCTTAATACCATTTTAATTAGAGGTGCACCAATATATTGGATTGCATATAGAGGTGCACCAATAAAAAGAAATTAACATTATTGGCTATCGCCTTTTTTTGGCCGGTGTAGCTGGTAACGTCACTAATAAATATAATATGCCTTCTGTCTGGGGCCCCCAGACACTGCATACATCCGCACAGCCACATGCATACACATGGAATGCAGCCAGGCAGCGTGGAAAGCATTGCCCTGCAAAAAAGTCTGTGGAGGGGAAGAGGCGTGCAGGAGGAAAGGAGTGAGGTGGGGGCAGATCAAGGCCCCCATGATAAGGGAGGGAGTGGGACAGGGGCTGGGGGTGCTGCTCAGCCACGGTGGTGAATGGGACCTGGAGCTGGGGCGAGGAGTGGTACGGAGCTGCGAGCAGCTCGTCCAGGAGCAGGAGACATGCGGCCAGCGCTCAACTCCCAGGGCAAAGGCAGCAGAGCGGAGAACCCCAAGCTCACAGTGGGCAGCCTACCTGCACCGTCACCCTGCTCTGCTCCTAAAAGCATCCCCATACTCATTTGACAAGCCTTAGTTCAAGCACACCTGCCATCATTTTTAAGCACCGGGACACTGATCACCTGGATGAGCTGCCCTGGCCCCAGGGTCCCATTCACCACCCTGATTGGGCAGCGCCCTCAACCCCTGCCCCACTCCTTTCCTTACCATGGGGGGCCTTGATCTGCACCTCACCCCTTCCCACCCCCACTTCCCTTCCCCTCCAGAGACTTACCTGTAGGACGCTGCTCTTCATGCTGTCCAGCTATGTTCCTGTAAATTAGTTATTGGATTGGTATTGGCTGATATGCCTGGTGAATAATTGGCTATCTGTATCAGCCAAGAAAATCTTTATCGGTGCACTCCTAATTTTAATCAGTTACTTGAGATTGCCACCCAGCTGACAGGGGACCTTCCTATAATTAAAATTGTAAAAAAGTATTCAGCTTGCTTGCAAGTTTTCATAGACACCCAACCTGGTTGGGTTATACTTATTGGCAGCCAAAATATGAAATACTCCACTGCATTTTGGAAGTGGTGTCAATGAACTGAAAGGATAGGAATATTATTCTGCCTATCAATCTAGGGAACTAGAATTCTGCCTCCAATTACCTAGTGCACTGTGTGATCAGAGATCTTCCTTTTTAGAAACAACTTGCACTAACCCTAAATTCCTGACAGGAAGAATTGACAACCTCAGATACAATTTATGAACCAATAATCTGCCCATTTAAAGGGCAAGTCTATATATATTCCCTTATGTAATTTTAGAGAAAGATCAACTGCTCATAAATTTAACTTTTTTTTTTCTCTAATTTCAGCCTTAGCATTTTATTGTGTAATCCTGACATATTCTGGTATTCCCATTGGCTGCACTGGGAATACTTACGTATGAGTACAGACTATTCATGTATATTGTTGGCTTTTTAAATGACTGGGCCTGATGTCCCAAACAGCTTCATAGCATTAAATAATAGTCTGTTCTGCTTGCTTGCAATGTCATTCAATGAAACACTGCTCCTTACTTCCTTATGTCCTTTCTGCCAGATCTAATTATTTTAGGTCTGCATGTATCTCATGATGCCTTACCTCCACAGGATTTGTCTTGTGAACCTCTCAACTTACTTTTTCAAGACATCTTGTAACCTCCTCTTTAAATTTTTCAGTCCTGTGGAAGGGGGAAGGAATCATTTCTTCTACAGGATATAAAGTTAACTTAGGAGAAAAGAGTAAGGGGTTTTATCAAAGCTTTTATAAGAGAACTCTTAAACAGCAGGTCAGCCAGAAATAATACTATGCTTCAAAGTATTGTAAGAGTATTTTTGGAATGCTTTCTGAAGAGTATGGAAACCAATGTATTGGCTCTTTTCAACATTTTGTTTTAGGATTTTGTTCTTTTTTGTTTTTTTGGTTTTTTTTAAGATTTCTCAAAATGAAGATAAGACTCACTCCACAGAAGACCTAAGCAGTTCCACAACCCAGGAGGAGTTAAAAAAGGCTAGCAGTCTTCCAAGTTTGGCTTCTGACAACAAAGCAGATAAAGACAAGCAACTCAAAGATGGATTTTTTCAGTTCCTCGGAAGTTTTTTCAATATTGGCTCAAAATCTTCTTGGGGAGAATCAAAACGGTCTACACCCCAAGATGGATGCTCCAAATCTGAGAAAGATTTAAAGAAGCCCACTGCTTTTCAGGAAGATAGGCACACACAGACTCTGAAAACTGAAGCACCTGTCAGCTCTGCTGGAGTAAAAGAGGTAGCAGTAACTAAAGAGGAGATTGGTTTGGCTAATACCAAAGAAGATGAATTGCAGGATTTACAAGTAGAGCATGAACAGTCTTATGATGTACTAAGGTAGGTTTTTAAAATAATATTAAGTGTCTAATTGTGGGGGGTGGAGGTGTATGTGTGATGTGATGTGATGTGCCAGCTGATCTTCATTTCAGCATCCACTCTTTGCCACTGTGTGACATGGGATACTGGGCAAGATGGGTGTATGGTCTGACCCAGTAAGTGTCTGTTCTTGCATTCATTCTAAAGGATGATTTGGAGTGGTCACTGGAATTTTAACCAGAATACTATTCTGGGGCCATGACTAGTTTGAGGGAGAAGCTAGCCAGAACCCATAGAGAAAGTTGTGGAGTTTTGGCCTTTAGCTGACGACTCTGATTTCTTGAGTTCTCCTTGGAAAAGTGAGGCACAGCTTACTGAGCCAAGAGAAATTGGGAGGAGACATTCTCTGAGCACTGAGACAAAAAGATAACAGCAGGAAGGAACAGATATGCCTAACACACACTCAGTATTACATGACTGTAGAAAAAGCAAAGGATGAATTTATTTCCATCAGTATTATTATAGTCTAAATAAAACCTAGGATTTTGGCGGGTGCATTTAATCTTTTATTAATTCTGTATGTATGTGTGTATATTTACTTGTTCTGCAGATAAGTTTTTATAAATTTTAATATTTTCCTTAACCCATTTGACTTAAAAGTACTGCTTATACTAAGTTGTGTTTCCCTTAACCCAAAAACTGTTCTGTAATCATAAAGGATTTATACTAAACAGATAATTAGTAGAGCTTCACCAGTACATTGGTCCATATTGTATTGGCACCGATAAAAGGAAAATTGACATTATCAGCAATCAGCTATTTTGGCTGATGTGGCAGATTAATGTCACAGATAATCGCTGCATGTATGCAGGCGGCCAGGAATGCAGCCAGGCAACTTTGAGACCAGCATCCGGCTGGTAAGTCTGCTGCGGGGAAGGGTAATGGGGGTGGGGAAGATTGAGGTCCCTACGGTGAGGAAGGGAGTGGAGCTGGAACAGGGGCAGGGGCAGGTGCTACCCAGCTGGGGCAGAATGAGTGGGGCACAGGACAGAGCCATGGGCAACTTGTCCAGGGGACAGGGAGGGGGATGGCTCCAGCTGTTGTATGCACCCCTGGGGCAGGCATGAGGGGCATGTGCCCTTCAAATTTGTATGCAATGCCAGGGTGGGCTGCCCCCTGCAGGTTTGAGGGCTGTGCTGTCCTCTTTCTGGCTGGGCTGGGGCTGCACTTTGGGCGGGCAGGAGTTGGGGGACAGCACCCTGTGGGGTGGCTACGGCAAATATTGGGCTGGCTGTAGCCCACCTTGTACCCCCCCCACCAGCGCAGCCCCAGCCCAGCCCCCACCGCTGGGAAGAGGCTACAGTGGGCAGTGCACCCTTGCCCTGTGCACAAATCTGGGGGACACATGCCCCCCATGCCTCCCCTGGGGTGCACACAGCATGGGGAGCCCTCTGCACCTCCCCCTCTCTCCCATGTCTCCCAGACTGGTCTCCCTTGCAGCTCAGTCCCCTGCCCTGCCCTGCCCTGGCTGGGCTGCACCTGCCCCAGCCCTACTCCCTCCCTCACCAAGGGGGCTTCGATCTGCCCCCCATGCCCCTTCCCCTCCACAGACTTACCAGCTGGACACTGGTTTCTAAGCTACTGGGATGCATATCAGCAAGTGGATCAGTATTGGCCAATACGGCTGATTAATAATTGGCCATCAGTATTGGACAAAAAAACTTTATCGGTGCAGCCCTAATAATTAGCCTACATTTGTTATAATCTTACCAGTTCTGTTGTCGATGACATCTGTCCTTCCATCCTTCCTAAAATGTATCTTAGAAATTGTTTCATGGATTGCTATGAAGCAATTTGTAATGGGATGTGTTTGTGTGCATGCACAAACAATAGAAGGAGGGATATATATGCATAAAACAGTTATTTAAGTCTCAAGTCTTGGGTTGAATCTAGCATGTGAAATTGTCATGTGAAAGTGACTCTATGTGATCTAAACCCTAGAATTTATGACTTTCCCAGTATCTTTCTGCACAATTACCTTAAAGGTTGACCCTATTAGAATAGACTGGGATCTTACAACTTTCTTTTTGTCAGTAAAGTAAGGAGGAGAACAGCACACAGGATTTAAGAACGGGATGAAGGATATAAAAGTAGCTTCTCTTGCAACAAGTTGTATTTACTTATTGAATGCAGTGTTTCAGTGCCACTTGGGAAATCAGGATTCTTTTCAATAACATTTTAACACCTGCTTAAAAAACTTCTTCCCAGTTAAAACCCTGCCTGGGGATACTACTCCTTGCTACTTGTCAGTAGTTTTGACAGATGGTCATCCAATTCATTTCAAAGGCTGAGAATTTCACATCTGTGCCAAATACCTTATTTTCTTGCATGCTACACACACCTTCCCACTTCCCCCCCCAAAAAACAAAGACAAACATCTGCTGACAGCTGGAGTGTGCATTATATGCAATGAAATATGACAAGAGCAATTTCTGCGCTTTACCAAAGAAAGTAAAAGTGAAGTCTGTACATAATCCATAAAGACCAGAACAGTGAGCAGATTTAGCTCCCTACATGTCTGCTACTTAGTTAATAAGGCTTTTACTAAAGTTCTTTTGTTTTGTTTTTTCTCCTTTCATTCTGCTTTTCAAAAACACGATGCATGTCTCATTCCAGGGCATACCGTGTGAGAGAAAATATGGCATCTTTGGGCACATCCCCACGAGCACACATGTACATTTCCCTGGAGACAACTGGCAGCAGCACATATTTGTGCCACTGTTAGTTGTCCTCAGAGAATGCCCCTGCACATACTCTTGAGTGTGCAGCAAGTTGCCCTGAGCTGCGTACGGGAAGCTGGGTCCACCTAGGCTGGCCCCAACAACCTTTTCCAGGGTTGTGGGGGGCCTCCCAGGGCAGCAGCAGTGGCAATCCAGAGAGGCAGAGCCTGGCTGGCAGCTAGAGCATGGGTCTGGCCGGCCAGGCTCTGGTTTTGGGTGATACGCACTCTAACCACTTGCTCTGTGCCACCTTTTTTTGTTCTGGTTTTTTTTTTTCTTTTTTGGATACTAGGAGTTCCCAGTATCTAATTTTGCCTCTGCACTGCAAATCTGCAGTTTGGCAAACCTATTCACGTGTGTTGTGTGTGTTTTGCGGCACCTCAAAAGCCTTTGAGGCATCACAAAGCACACTTTCCCACTCATGGAGACGTGGCCTCTGTGTTTGAAACTGAAATTTTGGTGGTCAAGTCTTCAAAAAATGTACTTGACACCCACTAGTCTGAGGGATGAGCAAACTACAAATATGAAAAATGCCTGCACTTACAGCACCACAAGACTGCACCCTCTGCAATTTGAAGAATAACAGTTGTGCATTCTTTGAAGTATTTTTTTTATTTAATTATAACGTGGTCAACCAGCTTTTATTATAGACTGACTTTGTGGTAGCACACAAAATGTGCCAGACACTTTCTATTGAGGGGAAAAAAAAGACTCAACCCAGGGCTGGAGAAGCATATAATTATCTATTTAATACACATCATAAACCTAAACTGTGTGTGTGTGTGTGTGTGTGTGTGTGTGTGTGTGTACATGTAATTAATGGGACAGCCTTATCCTGGAGGGCTGTCTCCAGTGGTGTCCCACAGGGATTGGTGCTTGGACCTGTGAATTTTAACATAATGAATTGGATGAGGGGGTGGAATTCTCTCTGATTAAATTTGTGGACAATACCAAGCTGTGAGGAAATGCAGGACACCAGGGGATAGGGTAAGGATCCAGGACGACCTTGACAGACAGGTTCTATGGACAGATCAGAATCAGATGAAGTTCAACAGGGAATTGCTGGGTCCTTCATCTGGGTAGAAAGAACCTTCATCACAACTACAGGATAGGTGGTAGCCCACTGGCTGGCACAGCATCTGACTGGGACCTGGGGGGTCACAGTTGACCAGGAGATGAACATGAGACAACAGTGAAAGGAAGTCGCCATCAGGGCAAATTGTACTCTGGTATGCATCAGCCGATGTGTTGCCAACAGATCCAGTGAGGTGCTTCTCCCTCTACTCAGTGTTGGTGAGGCCACAGCTGGAGTACTGTGTCCAGTTTTGGCCACTGCATTTCAAGAAGGATGCAGATAAACTTGAGAGGGTGCAGAAAAGGGCCACCTACATAATTAGGGGCCTGGAGGATAGGCCCTATGAGGAGAGACTCTGGGAGTTGGTCTTGTTCAGTCTGGATAAGAGGAGGCTGAGAGGTGACTTGATAGCCACCTACAAGTATGTCAGGGGGGAACACCAAGATCTGGAGGAGCAACTCTTCAGGAAGGCACCCCTGGAGAGGATGAGGACCAACGGTCACAAACTAATAGAGGGAAGATTTAGGCTGGACATAAGGAAGAACTTCTTCTCTCTAAGGGTAACAAGAACCCGGAACATACTCCCAGCAAAGGTGGTGCAGTCGCCATCCTTGGAGGTGTTCAAGAGGAGGCTGGATAAGCACCTTGTTGAGCTAGTTTTTGCTCGTTAACCTCTTGCCTATGGCAGGGGACCGGACTCAATGATCTAACAGGTCTCTTCCAGTCCATTGAGTCTGTCTGTCTGTCTGTCTAACTTGCTTTCTCTGTTGTGCAGCAAGCCTTGGAAATATCTGCATATGTTGTTTGATTGCTGTTTGTGTAGTTAAAGATCAGTTGTATTACCAGACTTGGTTACTATATCTCTCTTGTTGCTGTTAATCTTTAGTTCCATTTTATTTCCTGTTTCTATTGAGATTGCCCTTTAAGCCCACAATCAGGCTGGGTCCCATGATACTAGATACAGTACAAAAATAATGATAATGTACAACCCTGCCCCAGAAAGCTTATTGTAAAAAAAGTGGAAATGAACGTGTCCCTTGCCTTACTGACCTTATTCCACTTTAATACTTCATGGTGTACCTTTCCCTGCTTGTTCTTCAGTGTTTCCTCTCTTTTCCACCCCCCTTCCCGTCATCCACTTTCCTTTTGTCTACATTGTGTTCTTA